GTAGTGGTCACAGTTCATTGGAAATAAAATCATCTATTCTTAATCCACAGTATATAAAACTATCTCGTTGAAAATACAAGAAATAGGTGAAAGTTGACAATCGCGGATTAACGAGTATAATGTATTCATTTTATGAAGGACGAAGAATAAAAAATCCGCATTCGTAAATGAGTCACGGGAATGGGGCTATTCACGGATCAGGCCAAAATATGAGCATGTCATGCATCTCGGGAAATGAGAAGTGGCTTTCACGGGAACGAAAATACCCAAGGTGACCCTCTTTTAGTTCCAATTGCTCGTAAAGCTGTTTTTAAAAAACAGGTCAATGGAATTTTACTCATTACTACAATACGACGCATGGCCAAAAGTTATACAGCCTGTGGTTTCAATACGAAATGACGCAGTCTGTCGCTTTGTAGTACCGGGTATCTCCGATGAAGACCTTCTTCTAGACTGCCGCGACCTCTATCAAATGTCGCCCCCATTGTATTTTAAATCCAAATGGAGCGTCAATGTGTCATCAGGGTCGTGTACTCGGGAAAATGCTGCGCCAAAGAAAAGTTATCATTATTTTTCCTGCATTTAAAAATTAGCCGTGATGTGAATTCTTATAAATAGACGATGGCCAATGTCAGGAGAATAGTATTAAGTATTCCTTGGACAATGGAGTGACTAAATCTTTAATGTGCTTTCAACTCAAAAAGAAAACAGCATCGTTAACTATCGTTAATTTATTCGTTTGTTGAGTAATCAGTATAATTGTGTAAATAAATCCTTTAGGAAGTTAAATAAAATACATTGGTTTAAGACAAGATTTTCTGTATCACTTTACCCACTGCATGAGGGGTGACACTAGGGGAGTAGAGAGAAAGAGAGGGGTGCGGAGAGGTTTAGGGAGAAAGAGCTTGATTTTCTATAGATATCCACTTCAGATGTCTGCTAGTTGTTTAAGAGTTACAGATACCAGTACATTATCTCAAGAATTGTCATGGCATGCCAAAATAATAAGATGACCAGGTTAAATCGTGCACTTGTGGTTTTGAGGTTTTATGAATCATTCCAAAACAGGACATAGGAGTTTCTATAAGGAGAAAATGTATTCCTCCCCCTTCCACATTTTCCCATTAAATACCGACAGATCAATTTTCTTCAATCTAACCATTTCAAGAGGGTGACAAAACAGAATCGGCGTCTTTCATAGTTTCCATTCGGCTCAAAATCTTTTGAAACCTTTACCAAGCAATTCTAGGGTTTTAGTTTTAAAGGGTAGTAAATAATTTATATAGCATTTAGCCTTCAGCTCTAGTCTTTACTTTTGATACAAAGTCCTGAACTTATTTAAAATCAATACTACTCTCTAAAGATTTGTTAACACAATGGCCTTTTCTAGAATTGTTTATTGAGGCTTTTCTTTATTTCCCTTTCTACTTGGCGCATTTTATGATGCTAAAAGCAATGGCGGAGCCCATCAATTCACGGGTGGTAATGTTTGAACCAACATTTGTGCTATGTTAAGATGATTTAGAACAATTTTAAGTTGATTTTCTCACTGGATTACGATAAGTTTACAGTAAAATTTAGATTTTTGTGTAAAGATCAAGCCTACATCTGAAATAATACAACAAAAGGTTCTAAAATCATTAAGGAAAATTAAGAAAACCTAATACCAGTTAAGTGGTTTATTTAAACATGTGCACTGCTAAACAAAAAGAAATACAACAATCCAGAAAAAGTACAGCAATTCTTAAAACATTAAGAGGCAAATTTATAAAGTTGTTGTTGACTAACAGACAATTTCCGAATGAATTAACTTTATTTATTTACTTATTTTTTGGTCAATTATCCAAATGCAAAGGCAAGCCTATCTAAATTTAGTTTCCTGTACACTCACGGTCATTTTAGAATGTGGACTCTTGGTCAAAGTTGGACACAAAATACATACACTTTATATTTATAGACTTGATGGACTTGTTCATTTGAGAAACCTGTTTTAATATTTCCGTGACTGCTATTTTAGAAAAGTCATATTTTCGAGTACACACACACGCATGCGCACAACCGTTTACCCGTATGTAACGATACTATAAACGACGTTGCTTTTAAAACTAAAAAAACTCACACGCTTGTAAGCACAGGCAAACATAGACACTCACAAACACACGCCCTTGCAAAACTCCGCAGTAATTCAGTGTTGCGCTGTATGGGAAGTAGGCCTGTCCTCCCACCCACCTCAGTGTTCTGATTTTATAGTGGTTATTATGTGTGCCTGGGAGGAATGTCAAAGTATGCCAGTGTGGTTTTGTGGTGTTAATAAGCCCTATTAGAATAGTAACCCATTTCAATAAATCCATCATCACTTTGTCTACCCTCTATCTAGGTGGCAGATATTATAGGCAAATTTCAAAAAGCCAGAGAATTGAATGACTGTCTATTTATCTAAAGACATACCTGTGAATATCTTGTGAAAAATCAATCTATCGCCCTGGTAGAGGGTCCAGTTTGTTTGGGGAGAAAGGCTTCCAGATATAGTTTGGTTTAAAATAAATTAGCATAGATCGTAATTTAAGTATTTCGTTAAGGGGCACAAAGCTGTTGGATGTTGTTATTTCGTTCGTTTATCCCGCTCAATATAACAAAAAATTAAACCGCCAAACCGCTTAATAACAAGCAATCAATTAATTACAGAGGATTAATTATCACAATTTCACTCTGAGAGTTAATTAGAATACACGGTAGAAATTATATTTCTAGTACTCTCTATCAGAGGTCTTCTAGCAGTTAAAACTGTCGAATGACCCGTGTGGGATTTGAGCTGATTCTGTAACAAACATAAGAGCATTTGGTCCAGAATGTATTCCTCCCCTACCATAAAATATAACAGTGTGCATATCACATTGACATATGATAATGTTGAGGTCGCCCAAGAAGACGGGACATAAATATTCATCTGTCCGTGTCTGACCAGCGATGACTCCAGGTCTGTTAACTAAGCTATAATCCTCTTTTTCTGTCTGATATACTTAATGGAACATGACCCACCAAGCTGGTACGGATAGCAATGTGGAAGTAACACTGCTGTTATTCTACTCTCCAATGGAATTATTCGAATCCTTTAATGCTCAATTCTTTTTAAATTGTCCGCCACAAGGTTCATGCAGTTACTATCCTGTTCAAGTGCATCACATTGTTTGAAAAGAAAACTGACTTTAAGAAAAAACATTCATTTGACTTAAGTCAACTTTAAAAGAGATATCAAAAGGCTTGGATAATAACAGGTTAAGTCATGAAGGATAAACATAAAAGACACCGAAATATTATCATTTTTTATCAAATTTACATGGTTTCTAATCCCACAAACTGTTATTACAATGCACGCCTTACATCGTGACGCCTATTGTAAGAGGTGTGGGATGACCGCACCTCTCACACATGCTAATTGGTAGGAGTCTTCCGCTATAAAAAGCACTGTTGTCATCCTCGCACCTACTTCACGAGTCACGGGAGGCGAGGACCAACATTCGCAGGCTAAAAATACATTATTACTGCGACAGCGTCCGATTTTCACGGACATCGACAAGCAATCATTTTGAGGCCAATCGTCTACCAAAGTTGCACAGCGGAAACGTAAGTTCAATTGTTATTTTCTGCGTTTTAGGAGTATCGACATTGTAAGAAGTAGTTTCCTCAAGGACACCATTCCCAATATATCTGTGACAATATACATGTATATGTATAATTTTTGCAGATAGTATTCATAATAACAGCTTTAAAAGTATTGATGAAAAAATGCTTAATTTAAAAAAATACCAACCCAGCAGCTCACTAAAATTCCTTAGTGCCTCTGCACTCCCTTGATTATAGGACTACCAATACCCACCGCTTCAACTTCCTTTCTCTTCAGTGTTGGGAAAAATACCAAAATTACAATGTGATCATAAGAACCAATCACCTCTCAGGGAAGCCCGACCAACGGTTGCATTACGTTTTTAACAGACCCATGTACATCCCTGATAATGTGTTCATCAAAGCTAAGAGTTTCAGCTTCCTCACTCTAATGGTATAGGAATAAATGGCAGAAATTACAATGTAAAAAGAATTTAGAGTCATCCACTTCCAGGACAGCCAACCCCCAAGAACACTGAAAATCCCAAGTGCCCTTGCCCATCTCTGGTGATAGGTCTATCAATCCCCAAATTTTCAACTTGTGCGGGTATAATTATATATGTTTCACACCGCCACTTAAACCAATCCAATTTAAAACCCTCGTTCATTCAGAGAAGTTAATGTTTATAGTTTATGCACGTATGCAGGGAGACAATGAATAATATGACGCCGTAAATCTTGGGGCAGTTTACATGCGTCGATTAACAATAGGTGCTGATGGATTGTTATTATACGTGATTTTAATTTATTAGTGTCGATGGATGAAACGAAAAGCAACTTGCAGAAGTTTTTTTGTAAATTAAATTGATATTCATCAATTTGCAATGTGGGACATCCGGCTTGTCTTACAGTGTGCACCAAGCTAGAAAATTATCATTCGCCCCATTGATTTGCAACTCATGTAAATAACTGTAGATACATTGGCAATAGTGACATATTTTCGTCACGAGTGACATCAAATTTATGGCATTCATACGTTCATCGGGGACAGCCACCTTTTTTATGTTTAGTAGATACTGATAATTGGGGTATCTTCATTGGGAAATCATATGCATTTCACCTTTGCAAAGATTAGAGAATATTAAATATTAGTTTTCCAATATACGTTGTCTTTCAAATGCATTCAAATGTTGTCCTTCAAATAAATATCAACCGCCTATATTCATATATCTTCCAGATCTTAACATAAATAATATGCAGAAAAATAGATAAATTTTGCTTCAACTTTTTTATTTCAAGATGGTCGCTGCAGGGCGTTGGTGTCTTCTGTTGGTGGTTGTCATGCTTCATTCGTCGCCAAGCAACGGTTGGCTCAGCAACTTCGGATTTAATTTCAAAAAATTGATTGATTTGAACATAGGTAAACTGTTAAATCAGTGTAAGAATAAGCAGGCCACTGGCCTCAATGGAAGGAGTCACGCTGATATCGTCGCCGCCGCGAAACTGTGGGCGCCGGTGGTCCGGTTGGCCGTGGGAGAGGAATGGAAACCATCCAGCGTCGATTATTTCCTCCAACACGTAAACTTACGCGGCGGCAGTCCGACTTCCGTCACTCCGAGCACACTGCCCACCTGTAACAGCAACTGTTACCTAGAAACTAAGACGCATTTATCTTGTCCCTCGTGCAGAGAACCTGTCGTCTTTAAGGGACAGGATCCTGCAAGTGCCCCAGCATACGCTATATACGAGGACAAGGGTAACGTTGTTGAAATCACCTATTGGTTCTTCTTCCCATACAACAGAGGAAAACGGGCGTGTGTAGGGTTATATTTTGATAACGTATGCCCGTGCGTCAAGGCGTGGGGCCATTGCCTATGTCCTCGACTTAACGGATGCGCAGGGGGGTACTCGACCTTTGGTAATCACGTTGGAGACTGGGAACACGTGAAGATCAAGTTCAATAATAACAAAATCTACTCCATATATTTGTCAATCCACGATTCTGAGATCACTAACCAATATGGCGGAGAGTTTCTGTGGAATGGTAATGAATTCAGAAGAGGGAATCGGGCCGTTTATACGACTGACTGCACACACGCCCAAGTCTACGCAGCCAAGGGATCCCATGGTATCTGGCCAAATACAGGGGAACACGTGTACAAGAAACTCTTTAACGGAGACAAGTTGAAAGATCACTGTAGTGCAGGAACAGCATGGCACATTGCAAATAATCTTAAAATTGTCAAGATGGCCGCCAAAGGACAGTTTACTGGGGAATTCAACTTTCTTAACTTCAAGGGCCGTTGGGGAAATCGGGAACGTAACTGCCCAAAAATCATTGGTCAGTGTGTACTTGAAAATGGACCAGGTGGACCACCCAAGTGAGAACTCCCCAAATGACTCTCGAAATCTGTTTCTTTATTTTGGTTCAAAATTATAGACAGCCAAATTGTGATGGAAACCAATTGAAGTGTTCCACACCTTTCAATATGCCATTAACCCTATATACTGCATTATATGCTAAGACTCCTTTTTGGCAGAAACACATTAAAAAATTAGTGATTAAGACACGCTAATATTTTCGACGATTTTATGTTTTTGAAGTTGCCAATGTTTTACAACACCTTCACATTAAAATGTCTTTTCGGATGTTTTGATCGATTGATTAATGGATATGAAAAGAAATCTTATAATTTACTGCAAACGTACATGTACATTCTTTTCCTTTTAATTCAGACAAGGGCCCACTAAACAGTTTATTGGGTCTTAGATACAGATTAAAAGACTGAGTTCTACACGTACATATAATGATGTAAACAACAATGTTCGCAGTGCGCTCTTTTTAAAGTTTGTTCCATTCTCAACATTTATATGTCAAGCACTGGTACATAAAGATCATAGTATGTTTGAAAATATATACCGTGTCCTCCCTATGAATAAGAGTTATTTTTTCAAATGTATGTGTGATTGCTTCGCCAATACATTTTGAACATCATTCACAAACACGTCCGGCACATGCACCACACCAATTTAATCGGTGACGAGTATATACAAGACCAAAGACACATAAAGGCTCAACAACGCCTAGTAATGGATGACGTTGTGCCAGTGGTGCCACCTGCAGCTGGTGTCGTCTGCTGCGTGGGAATTATCTCAGCGGTGCTATACCCTGTGCTATACCGGTGCATGTACGTGTAAGTGCAAACAGACCCGTTCATTTCCCAAAAGAAATTCGATCTTGCTCCCGTGTAGAGTGGAAATTGGAGTTCAGACAAAGCGAAGTGATCAATGTCTCGACCGGAAAGGCAATTATCTTCTGTTCGAAGGCCGGTGCATTGCCGTTGAAAGAAGGTGAAACTCAAAATAGTGCCTCTCAAATACTGAAGTATCAAGAAATAGCATTTATCAGTCTTATTTCGAGCATTTCTTATTCGCACAATTTAAAATGTAAAACATAAAGAGGATAATGCTTCAAAAACAGTGTCTGGAGTTCTATGTCAGTATATTACAGACCTCAAAAACAAAATTACCGTTTGTGACCTGGGGCCGCAGATATGTGTAATATGCGAGTATTCTAAATTTTTTATAAACAAAAAGTTTCATTTGTCAATAGCTATTTAAAAGATTGACTGTGATTTATCTGCCAATATTTCTTCTGCTGAACGTCAGACTTCTTCAGGGAAATTACACAGAGACATTCCCTACACATGTAAACCGCCGTGCGGCAAAAGAACACTTAAAGGGATAATAACTGTTCGTATGAGATCTATATTTCACATTAAAACATTGTGAATAACTCATAGAAATATAATATATTCTGTTTTACCACAAAAACGGCAGTTATAGCTATTATTCTGATAACTGAGCTTGTCTTTAGACCACGTGACCTCCATTGATGGCTATACTCTGTTAAAATCTCTTAAGAGATTTTAACAAAAAAAAAAAACAAACTTTTTAGAAAAAACCAGGGACTAACTTTGAATGTAAAAATGGATTCATTAACCATTAGTAAGTATGGGGAAATTGTTGTTTACTCCAGGAAAATTCATTTTTTGGCCGAAACGAAGAGTTATAATTCCTTTAACCAATTATTAAGTAACAGCGAATAACAGAATCATTTCAATATAAAACGTAATTAATTCCCGTGTCTTAGCAATAATTTGTATTTAAAAAAAAACTAATTCAATGGTGCGAAAACTTTCCAGAAACAACATTTCCTTAACAAACTTTTTTGTTACAAATTAACTGTTCTCGATTATAATTTATTAACCGGCTGTGTTATAGAGGGCTATACTAATATTCGTCTAAATAGTATTTATTTAGTTTCAGAGTATGAATTACTTTGCAAACATAAATCTGCGGCTATTTTGTTTATGAGGACTGTATTACCTACTAGCATAAAAAAGTTCTCAAAATGTAGAATGTAAGAAAGTAACCCGTGATAAAGTGATAGTCCTTGAAGTCCTTGAAGTGTAATGACAGTGTATAAACACATGTATATGATAAGCAATTACTTTAGTGACGCCAACATTACGAACAGCAGGGCGATCAGGATACAGTACATGCTGAATTGAATGAACACACTCCCGCACGTATGCACACACGCGCACGCGTATACTACATGCAGTAGACACACACACAAACACGTGCGCGAATGCAGAAAACGATCTCAAGCACTTGATGATAATGATGTTTTTTGTATATTCTCGACTTTATATACGTACTGCAGTAATATTCACAGCTGTCTGCGCCGTAAAGCAGGATCCCCTACAGTCTGTGGTAAAAACATGTACGTCTCCCTCATCACAACGGAAATTATAGGATAAATACTGATGTAATACAGCGTCTGCGGTCCGGGTCAGATCAAGATCCCCGAATACGTGATTCATATGTAAGCAGCTGGGACATTTGATGACAGGAACTGAAAAGAACACAAAATGAAGATTCGTATAGACTTAGATACGAAACTCGGTATAGGCCTCCTACAGTGTACATGAAACGATCTCAAGCACTTGATGATAATGATGTTTTTTGTATATTCTCGACTTTATATACGTACTGCAGTAATATTCACAGCTGTCTGCGCCGTAAAGCAGGATCCCCTACAGTCTGTGGTAAAAACATGTACGTCTCCCTCATCACAACGGAAATTATAGGATAAATACTGATGTAATACAGCGTCTGCGGTCCGGGTCAGATCAAGATCCCCGAATACGTGATTCATATGTAAGCAGCTGGGACATTTGATGACAGGAACTGAAAAGAACACAAAATGAAGATTCGTATAGACTTAGATACGAAACTCGGTATAGGCCTCCTACAGTGTACATGAAACGATCTCAAGCACTTGATGATAATGATGTTTTTTGTATATTCTCGACTTTATATACGTACTGCAGTAATATTCACAGCTGTCTGCGCCGTAAAGCAGGATCCCCTACAGTCTGTGGTAAAAACATGTACGTCTCCCTCATCACAACGGAAATTATAGGATAAATACTGATGTAATACAGCGTCTGCGGTCCGGGTCAGATCAAGATCCCCGAATACGTGATTCATATGTAAGCAGCTGGGACATTTGATGACAGGAACTGAAAAGAACACAAAATGAAGATTCGTATAGACTTAGATACGAAACTCGGTATAGGCCTCCTACAGTGTACATGAAACGATCTCAAGCACTTGATGATAATGATGTTTTTTGTATATTCTCGACTTTATATACGTACTGCAGTAATATTCACAGCTGTCTGCGCCGTAAAGCAGGATCCCCTACAGTCTGTGGTAAAAACATGTACGTCTCCCTCATCACAACGGAAATTATAGGATAAATACTGATGTAATACAGCGTCTGCGGTCCGGGTCAGATCAAGATCCCCGAATACGTGATTCATATGTAAGCAGCTGGGACATTTGATGACAGGAACTGAAAAGAACACAAAATGAAGATTCGTATAGACTTAGATACGAAACTCGGTATAGGCCTCCTACAGTGTACATGAAACGATCTCAAGCACTTGATGATAATGATGTTTTTTGTATATTCTCGACTTTATATACGTACTGCAGTAATATTCACAGCTGTCTGCGCCGTAAAGCAGGATCCCCTACAGTCTGTGGTAAAAACATGTACGTCTCCCTCATCACAACGGAAATTATAGGATAAATACTGATGTAATACAGCGTCTGCGGTCCGGGTCAGATCAAGATCCCCGAATACGTGATTCATATGTAAGCAGCTGGGACATTTGATGACAGGAACTGAAAAGAACACAAAATGAAGATTCGTATAGACTTAGATACGAAACTCGGTATAGGCCTCCTACAGTGTACATGAAACGATCTCAAGCACTTGATGATAATGATGTTTTTTGTATATTCTCGACTTTATATACGTACTGCAGTAATATTCACAGCTGTCTGCGCCGTAAAGCAGGATCCCCTACAGTCTGTGGTAAAAACATGTACGTCTCCCTCATCACAACGGAAATTATAGGATAAATACTGATGTAATACAGCGTCTGCGGTCCGGGTCAGATCAAGATCCCCGAATACGTGATTCATATGTAAGCAGCTGGGACATTTGATGACAGGAACTGAAAAGAACACAAAATGAAGATTCGTATAGACTTAGATACGAAACTCGGTATAGGCCTCCTACAGTGTACATGAAACGATCTCAAGCACTTGATGATAATGATGTTTTTTGTATATTCTCGACTTTATATACGTACTGCAGTAATATTCACAGCTGTCTGCGCCGTAAAGCAGGATCCCCTACAGTCTGTGGTAAAAACATGTACGTCTCCCTCATCACAACGGAAATTATAGGATAAATACTGATGTAATACAGCGTCTGCGGTCCGGGTCAGATCAAGATCCCCGAATACGTGATTCATATGTAAGCAGCTGGGACATTTGATGACAGGAACTGAAAAGAACACAAAATGAAGATTCGTATAGACTTAGATACGAAACTCGGTATAGGCCTCCTACAGTGTACATGAAACGATCTCAAGCACTTGATGATAATGATGTTTTTTGTATATTCTCGACTTTATATACGTACTGCAGTAATATTCACAGCTGTCTGCGCCGTAAAGCAGGATCCCCTACAGTCTGTGGTAAAAACATGTACGTCTCCCTCATCACAACGGAAATTATAGGATAAATACTGATGTAATACAGCGTCTGCGGTCCGGGTCAGATCAAGATCCCCGAATACGTGATTCATATGTAAGCAGCTGGGACATTTGATGACAGGAACTGAAAAGAACACAAAATGAAGATTCGTATAGACTTAGATACGAAACTCGGTATAGGCCTCCTACAGTGTACATGAAACGATCTCAAGCACTTGATGATAATGATGTTTTTTGTATATTCTCGACTTTATATACGTACTGCAGTAATATTCACAGCTGTCTGCGCCGTAAAGCAGGATCCCCTACAGTCTGTGGTAAAAACATGTACGTCTCCCTCATCACAACGGAAATTATAGGATAAATACTGATGTAAT